ACATTTTGTCTTCAGTTTGAATCACCAGACCAGCCACTTCAAGCTGAAATTCAGACACTCTGACCAATATAAATAATGAACAGGGTCTGGCAAGTGAAGATCACCAAGGACCATTACGTCACTGGGACCTGGCTTTTCCCCTGCTCGTGACATAAATGAGGAAGAGCCTGCATTGTGCTCTAAACAGATGCATCTCCTCACTCATGTCAAAATGAGGCAGAAAAGAGAAGCAGGGTTGCCTCATGGTGTCAGTTAGCCGTCCTGTCACTGAGAAGGTCATCCCTACCCTAGCTGGTAAACAGTTTCGAAATGCTTCCCTGGCCACCTAAACTTCAGTCAGTGACCACCTAGTAAGAGTTCAAGAGCTTCTTTTCTCTGAGAGAGAATGCTTCACTAAGGGAAATAATCCTATTCAACTCTGGTTCACAGCCCTCTCCAGAAATTCTGCTGTCATGTATAGATTTTCAATTATCAGCAGATCTCTTCTCTCACAGATATCTGTGCCATTTCTAGGACAGAGATACACTGCTCAATTTTTGTTATGTTTTTTTTTCCAGTTCCCAGCTTCACGTATTCTATTTTGAATTTTACCTGCTCACATCCAACTTTCAAAAGTTAAGCCAGCTATGATTTTAGCATTAATTTCAGTACATTCTATTTTATTGGCAAAATAAAACAGAATGCAGTGACGTTACCTCTAAGAGCACATTCACTAGTTTGTCTTATAAGTGGGCTAGAGGTAGCACTGTCATCCCCATTATGGAGATGGGAAATGTGAGAGAGAAACATTAAGTAAATTACCACTTTGCCTCCCAAAATAGCTTCAACCCACCTACTGCTAAACCCTCCCCCCGCTAGGTCACCATCATAAACCTGAAGCTAGTCTCTTTACCTCTCCTATCCATTCTCCACATAGCACCCAGACTAACTCTGGAAAAATATAAATCTATCATGTCACGACTTATAGCTTCTCACTGCTCTTAAAATAAAGTCCAGACTGCTAACCTCGGCCTCTGAGGCTCTGCATGACCTGGCCTCTGCCCTTCAACCTTACTCCTGGGTTTTTCTACTCCCTTACCTCACTCCAGCCACACTTCCTTCCAAATATGCCTGGAACACACTGAGCTTGTTCCCAGCATCCTGTGCTTGCAGTTCTTTCCAGAACTGTCTTCCCTCTGCTGCGGCCTCCTCTCAAGGCCATCTCTCAGGAAAGTCTCTTCTCAGAACCCATCCAAGAACCTGCGCCCCTCCCACCTGTCCATCACACACACACACTCACACACAATCACCACACTCTGATCACTTTTCTTCAAAATATCTAGTACAATCTGATTTTACCTTGCTCATCCTCAATTCTAGAATGTGACCTCCACGAGAACAGAGACCGTATCTTACTGCTCTATGCTTTGTGCCATGTTTCTTGAAGTCAACGAAGGAATAAACAAAGCTTATCCTAGGAATCCACTAGCCCTGCTTAATTCAATCAGTAGCTATTCTTAGGGTAGACTTTTTCTTTCTTCTCAACTGCTAATTTTATTTTTAAAAGCTACAATATTATATATATTAGACTGTTCTAGTAGTGTGTTATGAATCATACCTGAAAAATGGAGCAAAGTGACAGTGAAGGCACATAACAGGTGCCTGGCTTCATCAGGAAAGGTAGTAAGAACCCAGTGCCCATTGCTTCAAACAATGAAGCTTCCTCAGAATTCTGGAACAATATGATTTTAGAGCAAAATGTTCCCCTTCAGTTTCTCTTCACTCAATACTAGCTCTTCAATACTTCCCTCTTATGGAAATTTCTCAATGTCTGAAGAGGTCCATTGGGCTGATTATCATAGGTCTTGAAAAAAATCAGGCTTAAGATAATGATCACCTTCCCTTCCAGGAAACAGCCATTTTCTGGGGGTGTCAGGGAAGGGACATGATGCCGAAATGCCTGCTGATATCCCCAGGGGCCCCACTCCAGTTCTTCAAGTAACTTGGCACTTTTCTCAATACTCTTTGCTGAGAGCTTCAAAGAAGAAAGTCGTGTTTGTCCACAAACCTGAGGGAGGGAATGTGCAAATGGCGCAGACATGCAATGGAGAGGAAATAAGGAACCAGCTGCACAGGGCTGTTCTCAGAAACACTCTGGGGTGTTGGGCAAGCCCTTCATAGCTCAGAAGGGATTTCTCAACTGTAAAACAAGTGGCTGAACCAGATTATTATCTGTTCCAACTGCTACTCCTTCACTCTCAGTGGTTCTGCAGACAGTGACAGCTTTGGTGACAGTCTGTGATGACAGACTATGGTGTCAGCCTTGAATACAAAGGGCCCAGTTCATTGAAGAGCATCATCAGGCTGTCTACAGTGGCAACTCCTGAACAAATGTCTGGGGAAGGGAGAGACCCCCTCAGTGCCCACGTACAATGCGTGGAAGCAGCAGGCTGGAAAATGCCAAGCTGGTGGGTGATCTCACCAGCTTTTGTAGGGCCACCCAAACTCCCTGTGAGAAAATCTGCCCTGGTGCTGGCAACTCACAGTCCAGGTGCTGGCAGCCCCCCAGTGCCTCGTAGTGGCCAGAAGGCCATCTCCTTCTTATGGATCAGGCCGATACTTTACGCGCTGATCCCTGAGTTCAACGTTAGCCTAAGATTTGGTCCGCAGCATTTTGGGATTGCCAGCACTTAAAGTGATACATTTTCTAGCTCTTAGCATATACCAGTCTCCCAGCTCAACATTCTGATTTTGGCCAAAGTTAATTTGTGCAAGACTGATTTGTTAACATAAATCCCTCCCAAACCTGAACTCATGTGTCCTGCAAAGCGACAAGCTTCCACACACCTACCTCTCCTTCCTTCTGTTTCCATCACCTCTGCAGCCATCCAAGAACCACAGGCTTGAATGAAAGCCTGACTTTTTTGTTTTTGGAGACAGCAGCTTCTACTAGAGGATCCAGAGGATGGTGGGGAAGAGAATATTCTCTTCTAGTTTTGTTTGACTTTTTAAAAGCCTTAAAGAAATCCTGCTATTTGCAACAACATGGATGGACCTAAAGGGTATTATGTTGAGTGAAATAAACCAGGTGGAGAAAGATAAATACCATATGATTTCACTTATTTGTGGAATCTATAAAAGCAAAACAAAACAAATGAACAAAACAGAAACAGACTCATAGTCACTGAGAAGTGACTGGTGGTTACCACTGGGAAGGGGTTGGATGGTGAAATAAGTGAAGGGGAAAAAGAGGCACAAAATCTCAATCGTAATGTAAATTAGCCACAGGGATGAGAGTACAGCATAGAGAACATAGTCAATAGTTCTGTAACATCTATGTTCACAGATCCTAACTGCACTAGTTGGGGTGAGAGTTTAATAATGTAGGTAACTGTCAAATCACTGTGTTGAATAATTGAAACCAATATAATATTGTATTTCAACTATACTTCAGTTTAAATCTATCCATCCATCCATCCACACATGCACACATACACACACAAAGCAAGCCTGCCCAATGACTCAGCGCGGAGCATCCCCGATCTTAGCTGGCAGGCGGGGGGGTTGCCACAGGATGGGGGAGACAGCAGAGCAGAGGAGGCAGTGCCTTGTTTTGATAATCTTGGACATACCACAGCTACTCAGGACTGGGCTCCAGAAGAAACAATGCTCCCCAAAGGGAGGCATGTGTTCGTTTGTTTTGCCCCAGAGGGAGTCGTGTAGATAGAAAACACCCAGTGTTTCCAGCGCGCCCGGCCTGATTCCCTCTTAGCGCCGGTTTTGTAGGGCTGCTTGCTCGGGAAAAGACTTGCAAGGACTGAGTTCGAATGCGCTCACCCTCCGGGCGAAGATTCTAGGGTTGCACGGACGGCGAGCGCAGCTCGGGCCAGGAGGCCCTGTGCTTGCAGCTACCGCACCGCCCCACGGAGCTCGGCTCCTGCATCCCCGCCTCCGGGGCGGCGCCGACCGGCGCTGGCCGGACTCGCCCCGCACCCCTCCCCGGGCCCCCGCCTCTCCCCGGGGCCCCTCCTCACCTGGGCGCTGCGGCGACCTCACCTGAGCGCTGCGGCGAGCTGCTCACGGGAACGCGAGCGCGCCAACCCCAGCTGCAGCTCCCTGACCGCACCGCAGAGCTCTGTCCTGCGCGGCGGCGCCGGGGGCGGCGGGAGGGCGAGCTGCGCGCGGGCGTGGTCCTCCGTCCCCCCCGCGCGGGCCTTCGCCCCGACCCGACCCTCCCCCGGCGCAGCGGGAGGAGGGACCGGGGTGGAGCGTGCGGCCACCAGCCGCCCCCAGGCAGCGGCCCCGGCCTGCGAGCGAGCTCCGGCGCTGCCTGCACTTGCCGGGAATCGGGGTTCGTTAACCAGTTCCGGGACCGACCCGGACACACCTAGGGCGGGCGCTGTGCCCCCCAGATCGTGCCTCTCAGACTCGATTCTGATCAGATGTGCCCCCTGATTTCTTCACCCACATCAAGCCAACCGTGCTGGTTGCACTGAATTCCCAGTTGCCCAGTTTCCAGGGGTCATCTGAACCGCTCGGCGCGCTCCGCGGTCGGTACACTGGGGGTTGGATGCCAACTCGGGAATTACGCGCACTGTACTCCGGAATGGAAGGCCTGCCGGCGGGTTAGTTTCATTTCTGGGTGAAATACAACACCAGGCGGTCAGGAAGAGCGTTTATGACTTGGGGGGAAACGGTGTAAGAAGGGGCCATTGCATAGCCCAGTTTAACACCGTTTGGGGGGCCTACCTGAAATTTCCTCCTACATTTTCCAGTGCTTTCTCCTCAGTCCATGTCTAATAAAAACATTCATTTAAAGCTTCGGTTAGAGACTCGGGGAAAATAGTTTGAAATTGATGTACAGTGTTATTAAAGGATTTTTTTTGACTAGTGATTTTTATTTTGTGGCGAGGTGACAGAACTGTAGGTGAAAAAGATTTTCTTTTTATTCCGAGGACTCTGTAGTAAGGAGGCATGGGTTATATACTTGTTTCTCACACTATTAGTGGCAAAACTTTAGATAAATTCCTTATCCTTTCTGCTTCTCAGGTTCCTCGTCAGTAAAATGGAAATTCGTCAGAGAATGAGATGCAAACGCAAATGGAATGCTTAAGACTGAGCCCTCACAGTGGAAACATTTACATTGTTATCTAATGTTAGTACCTTAAAGAAGCAGTGGTTTATCTAAATCTAACAATAGGTGAAAAATTAAATAAAACTCCTTCAGCCTACTGACACTTCCCTCTTCTTTCTGGGCTAACCTTCTGTGAAACAAGTTGCTCCAGAATATTAATCTTAAAGTGCACATTATGCTGCACCCAAGAGATCTCTAAGGACCTTCTCCCTTTGACATTAAAACCTATGAAAATAAATAAAGGAAATGTTTTCTAAAATGGAGTGAGAGAGCCATGAAGGGGCAGTCAGGTACCACTCCTTGCAGCTTACACGACCAGCAGAAAGAAGGAAGAAAATAATTATCTTGACAAGGGGGGATATTTTTTCAAATAGGACTTTCATCTCCTGCTTTTAAGAAAAAGAAGGAAGATCTCTCTTTGCCCCAGCAACAGTGCACTAACTAGCCATTACTTTTCTGCCAATGAGAAATCTCCACAACCTCAAACTCTTGTTCTTTTCTGATAAATTTCTGTTTTTTGCCTCTATTGATTATTTTTAACTGAAGAATGACTGCAATACAATATTATATTAGTTTCAGGTATACAACATAGTGACTTGATATGTATAAACATTAAGAAATGGTTACTAAAATAAGTCTAGTTACCACCTGTCACTATAAAAAGTTATTACTATACTACAGAATGTATTCCTTATGCTGTACATTACATCCCCGTGTCTTACTTATTTTATTGCTGTAAGATTGTACCTCTTAATTAATCTCTTTTACCTATTTAATCCCCATACCTCCCTCTCCTCTGGCAACTATTAGTTTGTTCTCTGTTATCTATGAATCTGTTTCTGTTTTGTGTTGTTTGTTCATTTGTTTTATTTTTTAGATTCCACATGTAAGTGAAATCATATGGCATTTGTCTGACTTATCTGTCTTATTTCACTAATTATAATCCCTTTAGGTCCTTCCATGTTGTCACCAATGGCAGGATTTCATTCTTCTGTGGCTGAGTAGTATTCTTGTATATATGTATTAAATCCTCTTTATCCAGTCATCTACTGGTGGACACCTAGGTGGCTTCCATATCTTGGTTATTATAAGTAATGCTGCAATGAACATAGAGGTACATGTATGTTTTTGAATCAATGTTTTCATTTTCTTTGAATAAATACCCAAAAGTGGAATTGCTGGATTATATGGTATTTCTATTTTTACTTTGTTCGAAGAACCTCCATACTGTTTTCCATACTGGCTGCACTATTTTAAATTCCCATGAACAGTGCACAAGGGTTCCCTTTTCTCCACATCCTCACCAACACTTATTGTTTCTTGTCTATAATGATAGTCATTCTGACACATGTGAAATGATATCTCATAGTTTTGATTTACATTTCTTTAATGGTTAGTGATTTTGAACAGCTTTTCATGAGCCTGTTGGCCATCTGCATGTCTTCTTTGGAAAAATGTGTATTCAGTTCCTCTATCCATTTTAAAATCAGATTGCTTGTTTTTTTGATATTGAGTTGTATGAGTTCTTTATATACTGTGGATGTTAACCCCTATTGGATATATGATTTGCAGTTATATTCTCCCACTTGGTAGTTTTGTTTTGTAACTAACAGTATGTTGTCTGTATTTATAGGTCTATTAATTTGTTTGTTTGTTTATATTCCACATATAAAATCCACATATGAAATGGTTTCTTTCTCTGTGGAAAAGCTTCATAGTTTCATGGAATCCCATTTGTTTATTTTTGTTTTTCTTGTCTTTGTCTGAGGAGACAGAGCCAAAAAAAATACCACTAAAACTGATGTAAGAGAAGTTACTGCTTATGCTTTCTTCTAGGGGTTTTACGGTTTCAGTTCTTAACATTTAAGTCTTCAGTTCATTTGGGGTTTAATTTTGTATCTGATACAAGAAAGTGGTCCAATTTCATTTTTTTCATGTTTCCCAACACCGTTTACTGAGGAAACTGTCTTTTCCCCATTGTATATTTTCTCATCCTTTGTCTTAGATTAATTGACCATATAAGCAGGGGCTTATTTCTGGGCTCTCTATTCTGTTCCATTAATCTCTGTGTCTAGTTTTATGCCAGTACCATACTGTTTTGATTATTATAGCTTTGTACTATAGTCTGAAATCCAGAAACATAATACCTCAAGCTTTACTCTTTCTCAAGATTGCTTTGGCTATTAAGGGCCTTTTATGGTTCTATATGTAATTTTAGAATTATTTTTTCTAACTCTGAGGAAAATGCCATTGGTATTTTGATAGGGATTGCACTGAATCTATAGATTG